AGCCTGTTGAACAGTGTTCAGTCTGTGACAGAACTGAAAGATGCATGAAGTCTTTTTTGTTGTTCTTTTAATGCTTTTAAATATTTTGAGTGCAGTCACATAGTTTCCATACAGAACAGGGATCACTGCAGTTGCATTTTCACACAGTGGTATTTCATGCATTTGCTCAGCTTGGCTGCAGTGTAGTACTTAGGCAGAGATGTCTCTGAAGCCAGAAGTAAAAATCATCATTAATTAAAAAAAAAGAAAAGAAAAAAACCCCACCGACTTTAGACTATGTATTCTGTACATAGAATTGGCCAGGGCTTGTTCTCTACAATAAGTCTGAACTGAGGAAGTACCTTGGGTGAATCTGTTGGCATAGCAACTTAGACTGAGTGGAAGACTGCTACACAGCCAGAAAATAGTATATGTTGTGGTATTATTGCATGCTACTGCCACTGCTTTGCAGACAAAACCTTCTGGGGTTCACATTAAACTCATAATGATTCAGCTCAAGCTTCTGAGAACATTTGGTGCCTGTATTACTGTAGACATTATTGCAGTCACTCTTATAAGAGCAGGGTGGCACCTAACCTTGCAGTTACCATGCTGAGAATGGGCAGAAGGTCCAGCTCACCTCCAGTACAGTCGTATGGTTCTCGCCTGTGCTGCCTTCATCATCATCAACTGATAGTTTATTATTGCTTCTCTCAGGATTGTTGAAAGACTGCGGAAGTTACCACAGGTTACCAGGCTGCTCCTTGCTATTTGGGATAAAGGGAGTAGGAGTGTCTGTTCTCTGCGGGAGGGAAACAAAGGTATTACAGATAGCATGCGAACCACTTACATATGGCAGCATTGAGACTCAAATTTGTCCAAATAAGGAAAAACAGTATCAAAGCCTTACACTTGATCAATACAGATGTGCTGTTATGAAGTATTTTTTAGTTTAAGATTTTTGGCATCAATATTGATGGAAAAGCTGTCATTGCTTTTAAATCTTGTCTCTGATGGTGATCCGTTTGTATCTATGTACTCATACCTGAGTGGTGCAACTCACTGTAGGTCACAAACACCTGCAGGTTACAAACACCAATGACTGCAGTGGGAGAACTTGCAAAAGCTTATGATTCTTCACTTGTGCATATCTTCTAATACAGAGAAACTGAGTAAGTGTTAGAGCACCATGAAAACGATCTATATAGTCGTTAGACTTCTCCAGCACTGTAGTGGCAGATGCTGCAGGACCTCCACCACTGACCATCAGCAGTGCTTTCTGTAGTCCAACTTCACTTATTTTTTTGGTAGCTAGTAATTTTCTTCTTATTTAAAGTTTGGATACAGTTGGAATCCTTGTGAATTTCTTCTGCAGGAAGAGGCAGAGAAGGTATTATGTAATGTATAAGGTCAGTCATGGGATTATCTTTCCTGAGTGCACAGAACTAAGCTATATCAACTAATAAGAGAAATAATCAACAACTTTGAGGTATGGACAGAGAAAATGATGCAGAGAGGACTTGTTTGGCTTTTACTGGGTAGATGCAGCCTTGTCTTCCTAAGGCTGAAAGCCAGGGCTCATGGGGATTTAAAACCTTAAATCCTGGTCTCGGGGAGAGCGGAAAAGGAAGCAGTCCAAGGAATGCTGGCAAAAGCTGCCAAGCATGCAGCAGGGAAGGTCCGTGGGCAGGAGTGCCTGTCTCTCCTAGCCAAAGGTCTGGATTAGCTGCAGTAAGGGGACTTTCCAGTCATTTCTTGTGAGCTTTGTAGAGCTGAGGGAAAACATGACTGTTTTAAGACTCATTATACTACTACTTTGTGCTTCAGTGTTGACACAGCTATGAAGGCAATGCTCAATGCTTTGAATTCTGAAAGCCACAGCACTTGTTTCAGATCTTAAAAAGAGATTGGCATTTGCAATGTGCCACGTCCTTACTTAAAGCTTTACACAGAGACTCTACAAGAAAGATCTGTTCAACATGGCACGTGTTTCAAAATTTTACATAGAAAGTGAGGCAGATGCTCTTAACCGAATGGAAACCAACCTCTGCTGGCACTTACAAGCCTTGTATTACAAAACTTACAGCCTCATAGTACAGAAGTTCTGTTTACATCTTTTATAGGAAGAATGTAATAAACAAGGATTTCTGATAGTCTTCCAGTCTGGAATCACTAAGGATCACTCTGCATCTGCAAAACAATCAGCAGAGCCTCAGCTGAAGCCAGTGAAACCTTCCTAACTTGTGTTAGTAGGGCATGGAAACTTTAGCAGTATTACTCCTTTTTCAGGTACAGTCAGATGGTAGGAGGTAGGTACCACTAAAGCCTGAGGTAGCTGTGCTAAACAGAAAGCCTTGTGCAAACTCTATCTAATGGAAGCCCTATGCAGGATTGCAACTGTAATAATCATGACTAATAACCTGCTCTTGGATCCTTTTGCTCAGCGGTATCAAAGTGCTAACTGCTACCTAAATATAGATGAAAAAGTGACTCTGAAAGATTTGGTATATTTATTTCAATCTTTATGAAAATGGAAGCTGGGCACTTCATGAGAAAAATCTTGAAGTCTCTCCTGTATAAAACATTCAGATATGTGTGCTTTGTGATTTCAGCTGGGTTGACACACAACATCTTATGATGTTGTAATGGATAAAAATAAATGTTTCAGCTTAGTGTATTGTGTCCTGTTCTGAACAAAAGTGGAAATATTAATTAGAAAAAGGTGTGCAAAGACCAAGCTTGTCTGGAGATTAAATACTGCTGATCGAATAACGCATCAAACTGTCACAGCAACAGTTTTCTAGTAACTCAAGCTTTATGGTAAAGAAATGAAAGAAATTCAAAAACATTACTTTCAGAGAACTGCTTAAGTCTTGGGTCTCTACTGTGAGCAAGTGTTTCCTGTGTTAGCAAAGCACTTGCTGAGCAAGGGGAAGTTGATGGGACTATTTTGCTTTACATATACAGAGTATATGTGTAAGGGTGCTATGGTGCTGGGCAGCAGTGTTCAGTATCAGGATATGGAGCCTGCAAGACACAGCTGGTCTGGCTGTTCTCTCCTTCCTTTTAAAAGCAACTCAATCTATCTGTACGTTTCTTTCTTAACCACTCTCTGAACTGAATTTCAGATGAATTGCTCCAGGGCTTGCTAGGACATGAGAAAATTGCTGCCCTATTTGGCATTAATATGAACACGAGTATTTACCTTGGGAAAGGTGTGCTTCCAGCTAGCTGAGAATAACAGCCCTCCTGTGCCAGGATAGGTTGGATTTATTCATTGTAACATTTCTTAAATGCTGGAGGCTGAGGACAATTGTGGGCCAAAGATTCCATAAAAGCTGAACTCAAAGTGAAGGCCTGTCTTACACAATTTTACTAGAACAGAAATTTCTCTACTTTATGAATCCTTTGTATTTGTTGCTGATGTGATTCCAGTTTGTATGTACAAACAAAGTATATCAATTGTTGCAGAAGAAAATCATGTTCTAGCAGTGCAGAGATGGAATTGATTGACAGCTGGAGGTTTGGGATCATTGAAGTCTTGCCTGGAAATTTCTGCTAAAGTGCTGGCAATAACACTTCTGTCTGAAATATAGATTTCATTTGAATTTACTGAATTCAGTTTTTTCATTTTCATAAAGAAGTTAACACAGGAGATTATTTCTAGAATTACATCACAGTGAAATTCACCTGTGTAATATTGCCCCTGAGCAGAGATGCAGCTGGCGAGCTTGCTGTTCCAGTGGTGTTTTACATCAGTGCTACTGTCAGGCTCTTTTGTCAGTAGAAATCTTGAAAAGTCAAGCTTTTTGATTAGTAATTCAATGGAAGAAAATATTTCACTTTCCCAAATCTCTACTTTCCACGCTATGTTAGTGCAACAAACTGCAGTTGAATTTTATCAATAAGCTCTATTGAGTGTTACCACATTAACTGTCTGCATTCTAGCACATTGGATCTATATTTCCAAGAAATGGTAGCTTTGGGTAAAGAACATGAGATACTTTGGATTCTCAGAAAGCACTGACTACATAATCTTTGCTGTCTGACTTTCTAAAGCCACTACCTTTTTTGAGACAGTATTTTCAACTCGTTTAGATGGTCATACGAGAGAAGAAATTGTTTAAGTCCTTTATTATAAAGATCAAAAGTCATGGTTACCATTTACATACACAATTTACAAATTATTCACAAAGGGAATAACAGATATGCAAGAACTGACAGCTGACTTCAGCCCAAGTTGGGGATGCGACAGTGTACTTGTTTCCCTGCTTTTATTTACTGAAAGAAAAGATATGTTTGCTTCTTGTTGTCTGTATGTGTTAAACACTGATCTAGTGTTTATGTAGCACCTTTAGTCATAATTGTGCAAATGCTTACATGCTTATCTTTATTTGAAAGACTGCAGTGCATTTATAAACATGCACTGGGATCTGCAGTCTTCACACTGCTGATTGTTTGTTGGTCAGAAATCCTGTCTAGTTTGGTATAATACAGTGGTCAGGCTTGAAAGAGTTTATTTGTAGGATTTCACTGATTTGAGCAATGTATCATTAAAATAAAAATGGAGATTACTATCAGAACTCTTAATCTAAGACTTAAATTAAGTATGGGTGCTATATCTTTCAAGAATAGTATCTGATCTTAAGATAGATACTAGCCATGTTGTTAGATGTCTTTGATACCACAACTGATTTACTGCTTTTCCTTCATTCAGGTTAGCGCATTTTATACAGTTTCCTAAAGCTATTTCAGGGACTGGTAAACTTAACAACAAAGAATCCTATTTTGGGAGATTTGGTAAACTAGCAAACCTCACAGAATATCTTACAGCACTTAACAAAAGGGAGAATAAGTTTCCAAATCCCCTGGTGTGAAAGCACAATATCAACAGTGCAGTAGCTGCCATTTAGCTAAACCTACAAATATCCATAATTTGTACTTTTTGCTGTCCACTGGGATGACGTGTATATCAGAATGTTTGAGGAAGCACACCGATTTAGGTTCAAATACAAATACAGAAATCACCAATGTGATGTTGCATCCAAATTCTAAGCAATAACGCAAAACACTTCACAAAAGTTGTTACACCTAGTGGAACTCTTTAGTTGGGCGTAATACTTATGACAGTATTAAGATGGTATGACTTTCTACCCAGCTATCAAGTATTCTTTACCATGAACTTTACAGTGTTCTCAGGGTGACAGATAAAGAATGTTGCAGATGCCATGGTAAACTTAAAATACAGTAATAGGCAAAGATTTTAGTGGCACCACCTGCATATACAACGTAGTTGTTGGAACCTTATGGAACAAAGCAATATTACAGTATGCCTTTTTAAGGCTTCTTGCTGGTTTAAAAAGGTAGATTTTTCTTTAGGGAGATTGTCCAGCAGTATTGGTTTCACATCTCTTCAGTGGAAGGTCTCTTTATTGATCCACATAAGACTGCGCGTTTCATTTGGTTTGCATTCGTATTCGATACTACCAAAACTGTTTCCCCATTGACAGTGATCCCGTTTGTGGTAGTTGTAGAATTTGACTTGCCAGACTGTTTCAAACACACCAATGTCGTCAAACTGTGTGGAAGAGGGAATATCAGTGTTAGTGAGCTGATTATTTTGTTGGTTTCTCATTAATAGAGAGAAACAACACTCTTACGAAACTGCAGAACGTAAAACAGCAATGTAAGGGTTATTGTTCCTCAGGTCAATAAATCAAAGATCTGTAAAGCCTGCTCTAGCAGTCATAAAGTCTTTTATGCTTAGGCATACATAAAACATGAAGGATCAGACCTGCCGTGTACCGTCCTCTTGTGCTTCTATCTGGGAAAGGCAAGGGAGTAAAAATGTTCAAGTTCCCATATGAATAAATGTTACTAAGAGCAACAACCAAAGCTATAATCCTTCTTAAGATGACACAGCAGTGGTTGGCATGATGATCTCTAAGTGGCTTGTATATACATATCATGTAGCAGCGATGTGTAGTGATACAGGCCATCACTTCACCTTTATACCATACCTAGAGGCTGCAGTTACAACTGGGAAGATTCCTTCTTTCGCTCAGTCTGAAATGTTTAACGTCCTTGTATTTTGTAGCCTTGTGTTTGCAGTGTCTTGGTTGAGACATGCTGCTATTTGACCACTTAGGCCTTCCCTAGGATTCTGTTCAGCATTTTACATGAAACTTAAGTAAAAGAAGTTTTCCTTTGTGTGTTTCTGTAATTTCTAGTTGTACTGTGATAGTGCAGCTTTTCAAACTTAGCTATGAGTAAGAGGCTAGGAAGGAGATAATCAGTGCATGTTAGCAGATAAGTATCTAATACAGTGAAATATCTCAGCAGTGAGACGATGACTGCAAGTTTTCTGATGGTGTTTGCAACTGGGAAGTGAATGAGACTATGGCTATGCTAAGTTCTGCAAAATCTCTCACTTTTTGAAGCTGTTGCTAGCTACCCTTTCAATATTAGAAAAAACATATGAATGAGGCTCAACAAGGGTATATCATGACTTCAGTTACGATGGTGACGTAAAATTTGTGTTCCTGTGGCTTGAGACCTTTCAGAGTGTCCAAAGTGTGGGTGTGAGGCCTATACGCATTGCTGTTGGTCCTGGTAGTATGGTTTGTTGATTTTGCTATGTTATTAGAAGATACTAGGTAGTAGATTCAGCGCTACTGAACAACACTCTGTTCTTCAACATTTTTTTGCTTTTAAATATTTCCATCACTCACTTTAATGACAGCTTCTTCACTTGACTATTTTCCATTCCCATCATGTGCCTGGGAGCTGACCTTTGATCATCTGCCTATTATAATCACATTAGCAAACCTTTTACACAGTGACTCTTCCCGAGTTGCAAGTAGAGCCTTGTGTATTCAGTTTTCTCAGAAGGACATGTTTGTTTTGTTGTTTCTTTTTAAAATTCAAGGTGTGCTTTGTAAGCTGCTACTATGTAATGGACATTGCTTTAAACCTTCCCCCAGCCCACTGTGGTAACTTAAATTTAACCTTGACAAAAGCAGGAATTGCTGTGTGCTGTTAGTGGAAGGTCTTTATTTGGCTCCAGTTGCAAGTGTTACCTTAAAGGAGTAGCTGAAATATTTCTGCCTTTCTTTCCTTTGACAAAGAGAATCAGATGTACAGGCTATTTTATCTCTCCCAGCAACTAAAACCTTGATTAATGAAAAAAAATCCTTAATTATCTCTGATAATAGTCCTGATACACTCATAATGCAAGATAGTAAAGGTTAAGCATATTGGGTATTACTGTGCACAATCCACACAGAAAAATTGTCAAAGAGGAGCATCAGCCACCCTCAGTCTGGAAACTGAGGAAGAAAAGGCATTTCTAATAGTATTTGTAGAAGGTAATATGATACAAGAGCAGCGTTTAGTTTCATTAATGTGTGGTGGATCTGAATTTCAACAAGGTAAAGGAAGAAAACAAATTCTATCTTCCTCCAATGACCCAGTTTGCTGAGCTGCTCTGAGTAGTCTGACTGCTGTGGATTTCCAGGAGAAGGAAAGAATTAATTGCAGAGCTTTTCTCCTACCATGTGCCTTCCCCCCCAGCCCAGTACTTAGCAGATGCAGCAGCTCTGTGGCGTAATAAGCATTCAGCATCCTTAGAGCTCCCCTGAATTCCTGTGGCTCCTGCAGCTGAATCCTGGCTCCTCCACTGTGCCTGTACATGGGCTTGCCCAAGGAGGAGGGATGGCCCTGCTCTTTTGTAGGTCAGGCTTAGAAGCCTATTTCCCTGTCTGCTATTCTCTGGCATCCACTGCTATAGGTGTGAATAGTTATTTAATCACTGAATTTGCATGCTAGGATGATTTGATGGCTATTTATTATGGGAATGGAGGTCTGGCTTCTTTATTCAATCTTAATCTAGTCTGACCAAAAATAAAATGACATCCAAAGAGAGGTTTCTAACTTAGTTTACACCATTTGCTAGGATGTTCAGCAGTTTCTGGATAGTGTGCATATTTGAGCACTCAGGGAACAAATGCATCCTTAGATTCTGGAATTCAGAAATGGGATCGCTGTTTTACATGTATAAACTATGGCTGTAACAGGTAAGATGTCTACCAGCCAGTTGAAGTAGGAACATGAAGAATTATTTGTTTAAAGTTTTAAAGCAGATGGGTAATAAATTCTTATGGACTTTCTGGCTTTTAGGCATTAAATTGGCAGTATCAGACCATTTTTTAACTGCAGGACTGACTTCACGGTCTATTTCTCATGTGAGTTCAGATTTTATGCCTTCCTGCCTCTTATAGAAAAGGAAGTGGAGGAACTACGAGTTCCTCATAGTTGAAGGAAATAGGAAAATTTAAAGCTGTCTGCAATGAGCCCAGTTTTGAAGATTCAGGAAGTAAGTATTAGAAGCCGTTTTCAAGCCGGGGTGTCTGAGGCTGGTTCCCTAAATCTGTTATGGCTCTGTCTAGCTAAGCAGCTAAATGACGAGTTAAACATGTAAATCCCTGTTGAGTTGCCTATATTTAATAATTAAAAGTATCAGTTGTGGACATTTAAGTCTGTACTGAACAACCAATCTATCAAGATCAGATCCTAAAGGAGGTTGAGGACCTGCTTAACACTTGCAAATCCTATTAGCTTCATGGTTAATACCCCAGGATTTGATTTGTGAAAGCTACTGTTTGGACAAATATTGTGGCTACTCATTCTGATGCTGCAACAAACCAGCTCAGAGCTTGTATCTGAAAATCAGAACCTCTTTGCATTTCTTGGAATTGCTTCATTTATGATTTATGTGACTTGATTTTCTCCATAAGAAGAGCTAAACTTCCAGATTTTCAGAGCTCACATCAGTGCTACACTTAAGGATAAAGGTGGCTATCAAAATAGAGATGCCTTAGTGAAAGCAGCTAGGGTTTTGAGGAGCACTGCCCTTTCACCTCCTGATATAAGGACATTGTGAAATATAACTGCAGTACTCAGTGGTGACATCCAGCAGCCCTGTTCTGCTGGTTGAGAAGTCATACTGGACATTTGGTTTTCCTGGGTGTTGAAAGGAGGCGACCGTGTAGAAAAGTGATTATTGTGGACAAATATTCAGAGTAGTCTTATTAACCTAAGATTATGAAGTGGTAACTCTTAATGTGATATGTGTCACCAAAATTAAGTTACGCATGCTGTAATTATTAGAAGCTCCAAATGGAGATGTTACAATTCTTATTCAGTAGAGGACTGTCATGCTAAATGATGACTCCAGAAAAAAATAGTGAAGATAAAGATCAAGATGAAATCTTGAGTGCAGTGAGCAAGTGTGAGAAAAAGATGAAATCTGGTAGGCTTAGCAAGGTCCTAAACCTGTATAAGTTGGAACAGACCCTTAAGAGAGCTTCAGATAAAGATGGCTTACTGCCCCATTTCCCCTTTTTGGTACAAGGGCGCATAGAATAAACAGCAGGAATCCCTCACAACTGAAATCAGGAGCGGGGAAAAGAAACCCCAAACAACCAAACCAAAGCTAGAACAAAACAAATCACCCTCTGCACCCTGAGCACGCCACCCAAAGAGTGCTGTGGAAATCTGCCTGCTGCTCTTCCTGGCTTCTGTCAGCTCTGCTGCCTTATGGGCTTGAGCTTTTGTCATCTCACTTTGAGGCCATGGCATATACCAAGTCTGGCCCTTGGAGCTTCTCGTTAAGCTTGGGCTTCTCATGAAGCCACTTGAATAAGAACTTAGGTTTGCGGATGCAGAAACTGTGTAAGCATATGGAGAAAAAAGGGGAGAAGAGAGCCTTGGCGGGGGGGAGGCATTCTCACACATACTTTCAGCCTCTGGCAAGTCCTCAGGCATCCTGCAGATGAGAGGTGGAAGGGGAGAGTAGCCACTCCTTGTGCTTGAGGCATGCTCTGCTCCAAAAAACTTGGCAGTGCTGGCAAGCAGAAGGAGGGTTCCTGTATGCCAAGGGCTTGGGACTGGATTCCTAGCTAGGGACCTTGGAGGGAGTTTCCTGAAGTCTGTAATACGCCTTGCAGGAAAGGTGAGAAGTTCAGCTCCTGTTTCTTTCTCCTGCAGCACCCCAATTCGCTGTGCGAATCTCTAGAAATCTCTAGAAATCCCTCTACTACTTCCTAGCCCTTGCTGCTCTCTTGGCTTTCCCTCAAGAAGCAGGGCTTGTGTTTTCCAGCTACGCTCTGACCAGCTGTCTCACTGACGGAGAGCAGAGGGGAGTGCAGCGGCTGTGATCAAACTTTGCCCTGGAATATTTCAGCTCCACAACTCCCTCTCTGGGAGTGAACCCCTCCCATCCCTTCCCATGCCAGGCTTTGAGAACCACATACCTGCATGTTGACCTGGATGGGCTGTCTCTCCCCGCTTTTGGTATGGGGTACCCCTTCTGTGTCGTAGATCCCTGTGTAAGAGGCCACCTGTGCATCCCTCGATTTCTCTTCCAGTGGGACATTGACGCCTCCGATGCCCATTGTCCTGCAAAGAGATGGGATCCAGTCTTTCAGCAGCCCCACAGGTCCCCTTCTGGGACAACTCAGAGCCAGCATGTGGGCTGGCAGCCTCTGTGCTGGGGGATGCTTCAGGGATTTTAGCAGACCTGCAGGTGCTGCTGACTCACTGGGGCTCCTGAAGAAATGTCAAGGTTCTGCAGTCACCCAGGGAAGGTGTAGAAGGGAAAGGCTGGAGGGATCTGATCTCGAGTAGCTGGGGAGAGGTTAGTGGAATCCCTTCTCCACCCAGAGCCGGCTCCCCATCTGTGTGCTCTCTGGTCCCAGCCTCAGATTTGCCGTGCTGCAGCCAGGCGTGGGCATGGTGCATCCCTAAAGTGTGCAGGGCCAGCGGACCTTTTCTGTCTGCCCCCAGGGCAAACCTCAGGGAAGAAGGGAGGAGAGGAGCTGGGCTTGAAAGAGCTCCAGGGGAAGGAGAGGGAAGGAAGCGTCTCCCAAGCCAGTCGGGAAAAGCAGTGGGAACAGCTGGCCAGGGACCTAGAAACAGGGCCACCAAAGCAAAAGGAGGGGGGTGAGGGACAAATCACGGAAACCCCGTGCTGTCAGCCTGCCAGGAAAAAATATTAAACCTCTAAAAATAAAGCAGGGGGGAAGAGAGGCTGCACTTACGTGGCCTGGACGGTGCCGGGCCGGAGGGCCACCTCGATCTTGTACTTGGCCCCGGTCAGCAGCTTGATGGTGCGGTTCTGGCCGAAGCGCTGCCCGTCCACCTTGAAATACACCGCCCCGTCGTGGGGCTGGATTTTGAGGGAGACGCTGATTTTCACGAG